TCTAAAAGAAAGTGTTTTGTGCCCTGCTTGGGAGAAGGTGTCTAGCTTAAGCCCTGTGACAAAGAACTATTGGGCACAATGGGACCAGTTGAAGCTTGAAGATCGTATTCTTGTCCGGAGATGGGAAACTGCAGATGGGAAAGTGACGACCTGGCAAACGGTTATACCGAGAAAGTTACGTGAAGTTGTGCTGCATCAACCCCATGATAGTTTAACAGGAGGACATCTTGGAGTTAAGAAAACATTGAGTCACCTACGACAGAAATTTTACTGGATAGATATGAGGCAAGATATGGAAGACTGGTGCAGGACATGCAGTACATGTTGTGCTAAAAGGGGACCCAAGCATAAGGGACGTGCTCCAATGAAGTTATATCAAGTTAGAGCACTAATGGAAAGAGCAGCCGTTGACATTGCTGGTCCTTTGCCTCAAATTCGTGCTGGGAACAAGTACATTTGTGTGGTGATGGATTATTTCACCAAGTGGCCTGACGCATATGCAATACTAAATCAGGAAGCTACAACTGTATCTTCGGCTATTAGTGATTTCTCCCTCAGATTTAGTATGCCATACGAACTTCATTCAGATCAAGGCCGTAACTTTGAATCATTTGTGCTCCGTGAATGTTGCAAGTTGTTTGGCGTACGAAAGACCATGACAACGCCACTCAGCCCACATTTCAATGGGATGATAGAAAAGTACAATTGGACACTTCGACAGGAATTGGCAAAGTTTTGTAATAGCCACCAAGATGACTGGGATGTCTTACTCCCTCCATTGTTGATGGCCTATAGAACAACCGAGCATGAAGCCACTGGATACACTCCAGCAAAGTTGATGTTTGGTCGGGAACTTTGGTTGCCAGTGGATCTGTTTACAGGACGCCCACCTTATGAAGAGTTGCTTGAAAATGTGTCAGAATTCGTGAAAGTGTTATCGGAAAGGATGGATAATATTCACCATTAAGTGCGTTCAAACTTGTAAACGTCTGCTAACTCCATCAAGCTATGTTATGATAAGAGATCTACTGAAGTTAGCTTTGTACCAGGATACAAAGTGTGGTTGTATAATCCCAGGAAGACCAAAGTGAAGTCTCCTAAGTTGTCTTCTCCATGGGAAGGCCCATATGACATAGTGGATCGTGTCTCAGACGTGACGTTTTGGATAAAATGTGGTCGGCGAGGTAAGGCAAAAGGTGGTGCATGCCAACAGGCTTTGGCATTATCATGGTCCAGGACATTTCAGTTGAAATGAAGTGAACAACGGAACAAATGATGCTGCTGAAGACGTGTCACCTGAAAAAGCCACTGTCGAAGAAGAAACTTCTTTCAACAGTTTTGAGAAGGGAAACAGTGAAGCCCTTGATGAAGTTACTACCACTTGTGTGACTGTTACCGATAATAGGACAATTCCCGATGAAGTAGATGAACCCCACGTGAAGCAGCTGCCAACGAGATGGAGACCAGTACGGAAGAAGATACGTCCCGTAAAATTAAGAGACTTTGTTGAATTTTAATTTTTGTGGTTGTAATGTTTGTAAATTATGTACATTTAATTAAGTTATTGTTAATTATCTATTGGTTTAATGTAAGAGGCTATTGTTCGGGACAAACAATACTAAGGAAGGGCAGTGTTACGACAGTGGAAGTCATGTGACGCTAGTAACACGTGATGAGTATCTAGAAGATTCATGAAGAGACGAGTGTAATCTGGATGTACGCTTTTAGAGTATATAAGCCGGTAGATAAAGTGACGGAAAGAATAGAATTGCAGACAAACCGAGACGGACAATTGAGTCAAGCGTGGTAGTGACCGTAAGTAAAGTGCGTGAATCGTTGTGAATTACAGCGTGTGTTCAAGTTAAAGTGATTGTGGAAATTAAGTGTATTGCAAAATTGAGTTGAGAAAGAATAAACTAGTTTTATTTAAGAAAGGACTTGTATCGCTAAAGTTTCTTGGAAAGAATTTCTACGGAAAATTAACAAACGAACACAGAGACGTAACAATACTAATCAAATCATCAATATAATTATATGGTTAAGGACAATAATTCCGGATTTGGAAAATTATTTATAAATTTATTTTCGTCATAATAAATATATAAATTAGCAACTCAGCTTGAATAATTAGAACCAATCGATCTACCTATTATTTGTTTATAAATGTTTTTATCAAGATGAATATAATCAATATATATGTATTATTTTTAGTTATCCAGAAATCATTTTTATTATTTGTATTTTGTTGTAACTTGACATATAAATGATTCAGTACTTTGTTTAATAAAACTGTAGACTGTTTCAGTATAGTATTTACTGAACTAGAAATAAAACGAAATATAATGGGAGATTTATGTAATTTAGGTATAGTAATTCTAAATATGGACTTGTTTTAACATTGAATTTTTAAGAGCTTTCAACAAGTTGTTAGTAATATCTTATTTACACTTATTTATTTGTTTAAAAGGTTTTGTAGTATCTGTCTCATTGGTTATAATTTGTGCATATTAACTTTATGTATAGAGTTGGATTTATCGACAGACACAATAATACATTTCTCCTGTATTTTAGGAACTCTAGCTTTAAATTGAATAAAATGTTAAATGTATTTGATATTTAGTTAAATTAATAAAACATTATTTATCTTTAATTCTATTAATAATATAATACCTCCATTCTAAAAACCAACTTGGAGGATAATGTCTAGAAGTTTCAAAATAAAATCATCAATGTTTTCTTTATAGAATTCAAAGTGTCTACTTTTTACATTTGGTAGCTATTCTGTATTTAGCACCTTTTTCTGTGATTTCCCTTAAAGAATAATTTTTTATAATATCCAAATTTCCAGTATTATTTGAAGTTAAGCATAAAACTACCCAATGGGCTATCTGTTCTCTGCCTAACATGGATATCGAAAACCGGTTTCTAGCGATGTAAGTCCAGAGACATGCCGCTGTGCCACTGGTAGGCAATTTCCAGTAATAATATGCTTATGAAAAGAATCTTACAAATAATTTAAATAGCACTCACATGGCAAGTTCTGCACATTATACATATCTAGATTATTTACAAAATATTTTATAATTATATATATATAAGAGGTCCTATTAGAATTTAACATTTAAAACTGATAATAGGTTTTGAATTTATAAAGAAAAGTATTTTATGTAACAGAAGCAGGCAAAATTTTAGAAATTTGTAAATCATTAATAATTTTATGCTTTTAGATAATTACTATATATATGACGATTTTCTTATTAGTAAATATTCAATTATATCATTTATATTATATTTAATATATATTAAATTCTAATTATTATTGAAGAAAGGGGATGAATTTTAAAAGGTTCTAATTTTATATAATATATCTAAACCTTAGACGAAATATAATTAGATTAAATTTTATGGAACAAAAATTCGTAGCCACAATACAAACATCCAACACCGGGAAAAAATCATATGGTGGGTCTTTATGTAATATGTCCTATTTTTATGAGGTATTGGTGGAATTAAGACCCAAATTGTGTTGGAGGTACACCGTCTATCCAGTTTAACCTCAACTTTGCCGGCCTCATATGCTTGAAAAAATAAAGAAATGTAGCATATGTGGGTGCTTTGGCCCATAACGTCCCATATCTTTATCACCTTTTGCTGTCTGCAACTAGATGTGGGAAGGTGGTTTCTCACAAAAATAATAATAAAGAAACTAGAATGTTTTTGTTGTAGATTCTCAGTAATGTTTTTTACTGAAGATTGATCTTTAAAGTGACGAAACTCGTTGAACAAATGAGTAAATTAGAAGAAAAAATGGAATAGTCTGATATTCCGGTGTTTTTTATTTTATATATTCTTGTAAATTTTTTATTTCTCTGGGTATGTACTTTTACATTATTTGTTGAAAGTTTTATGAAATTTAGTGTAATGATAGGTAATTAGTTTATTTCTTCCTTAAAGTTTCTACACTTCACTTGAGTACTGTTGTAACTTGTAGGTCTAAGTTTACAAATGCCATTTCAACGGAAATACCTCACTAATGATACTATGTTTACCATAAAAATAAATTTACTTGTACAATTCCACGGTATTTAAGTGTACCGCGACAGTTTATTGAGGTAGCGAGCCTATAGCTGTTATCGAAAGGTTGAGAAACTCTGATCTAGGCCTACTTTAACATCATACGCTGTTTTGCCAACCTTTAAATTGAAGCACTACAAATATAGCTTTCATCAATATACTGATAGATGATAAAAGTATACTTTCATTAATTAAATAATGGTTAGGATCCTTCTCAAGTATCCAAGTTTTAACAATAAAGAAGGTTTTAGTATTTAAATCAATAAATGAAAGCAATATATTTATACACAATTTATCTTCAATAATGATATTAAAACTATAAGAGTTACAAGGTAGTTTCATTGTATCTAGAAATATGTAAGTATCATATATAATACAACATTGTTAATCTACTAGTGTGTTTTATTGTAAGGTATATTTTGTAACACGTTACAAACAACAACAACCTCACAATAACTTGTTTTCAATTTGAATATCAGAATGCCTGGAAGGTATTGTTTATGTAATCTTGACAACAATAGAGACTTATTATTGTGTTATTGTTCTACATGTGTTTAGTATTCGTGTTGAGTGAACATCCGGAAATGGTTCAGTGTTATTAAGACCCCGTAATACATTTGCAAGATTATGATAATTTTAATAAAACTGAATAACCAGAAAATAAAATATATACATTTACGAAAGGAGAAATGTAATAATATTTTTACAAAGTTGAAACAGCTTAACGAAAGGCAAAACCTGTCTGAAAGATTATATAAACTATATGATAATATTTATAAATCAGAGTTTATGTAGAAATATTGCAAACATAAGGAACTAAATCAAATCCATGTTTTACATAAACAGTACCAAGGACATTATCAACGTTAATGTTGTCCATGTACTCTTACAATACGTTCAATTTGAGAGGAAATTCGAGGTTTTCAAAACATTGAGATTCTTCCATGAAAGTCTCAATTAAACCCCTGTAAACATCTCTGACGTCATGGCTACAAGTAGAGAATAGGGAGTCTACGCATTCAAAAGCGTCTACAGCTGCTCTGTAAGAAGAAAATCAACATGATTGTTTATTTGTTAAACACAAAGCTATACAATAAGCTGTCTGTTGTGTGCTCACTTACAGGTATAGATACAGGGGTTTTAGCTTTATGAATCTTCAGACTTATCGCTGAGCGAGTTAACTGAGCCACTAATTATAACTTTAAAATATTACAAAATTAAGTAATTGATAGAAAACTGGTTTTTGTGAAATCATATCTGAATATATATATAGCAATGAACTTCAATTTTGATGGTATAATATTACAAATAAGTACAAAAATATCAAACTTATTTTATAAGCTTTTTGTATTTTTCGTTGTTAAGCACAAAGTTATACCATGATCTATCAGTGATAGGTATATCGCGGGTATCGAAACTCGATTTTTAGTGTTATAAGTCCTTAGATTTACCGCTGTGCCATTGACTGGTTGCTTGAAAAGAACTTAGAATACTTCATTTCATATATTTGATGGTTACTCTATATATAACATAAATATCACTTTACATTAAGAAGGTTGATCTGTTAAATTAAGTATTTTATCATAGTTCACGAATCA